TATCAACGGAAGACAATAAACGTTCGCAAAGAATAGATACGTAGCAAAGCTATTGATTAGTATATCCATGCACGTATGTCCTTGTTTACAAAAAATTTAATGTAAGATATCCGATGTTCTTATTAAGAGCGTGAAGGTAAATCTTTACTTCAATTGATTACTTCAATAGATTACAATATCATTTAAGCATGTTACTCTAACATTACAAAGTGCAACGTGGCGTGAGAAGATAATTTTATTTTTCAGAACGGCTTTAAACGTAAAGAAATCACAATTTTCGAAAATATATGATATTATCAATATATATAAAAAACAAAAAAATAGTGGAAATTACCAATCATGAACTTCATGTATAGGGATAACATATATTCCATAATCTTTTTCCAAAATATTAATTTCTTTTAGCTCTCTTCGGCTATACTCTTTCTTTCCTCCGATCCCGAGTACTTTTAAACTTTTTGTATTCTTTGCGTAATCCGATATAACTTTCAAATGTGCAAATTCAACCTTAAAATATTCCACAATTAATGTTCTCAAAGGTGCTTTGCAAGTTTTTAATAATTTATCTAATTGTCCTGTAGTGAATCCGCATTCTAATTTAAGATATTTAAGATTATTTGGTATATTCTTTCCAGAAAAGTTCACAACTCCCATTTCAACTACAGTTTCTCTAGTTATTGTAAGTTTTTCTAAATTATTAACATCTTTAAGTAAGTTTAAAAGAAATGGAACTTGTTTTGGTTGATAATCCATTATTCGAAGGTCGGTAAGTTGTGGACAATAATCGATGATTGCTTTAATCATTTCTGGTGTTAAAACATCTATCCATAATTGTTGAACTGTTCTTCCAGTTGCCTGAATTATATTAGCTGAAACATTTGATTGTTTTTGTTGTCCCCATAAATGTAATTTTTCCAATTGATATTTTGAATCTTGTAAACTTTTTGCATTTTGTATTGCAAGTCCTTGTGAATTCCAAAATACTAAATTTTTTAAATTTGGACATGTTCCCAAAACTTTTAAACTAATTCCTTTGAAATTTACTTCATTGAAATAAATTGAATTTATATTTTGTATTTGAGATTTAATCGATGTTAATATTGTTCTAGTACCATTACTCGACTGAATATATCCCAATCGAAGTTCTTGTAATTTTTCTTGTTTATCAATAAGATTTGATATCGAATTAAATATCGCTTCGTTATTTTCGAATTCTATAAAATTAATTTCTAAATATTCAAGACTTTTACAATATATATGTAAAGATTCTAATAAGTCGATAATATTTTCTGATTTTCGAAAATTAATTTGAAGTTTTCTAAGTCGAGTTAGAATTCCTGTTTCTGAAAACACTACAACTTCAGGAATGTCCGTGAAAGACAAGTGCTTATCAATGATAAGCTTGTGTAAATTCTTACTCGATCGAAAAAATAATGTACATAATAACGATTTTAAATGTTCTATTTGCACATTCGCATCATGAGTATTTTTGATAGGTTTACGAAATAATGAATTTAACCACGAAAATATAGCAGCTTCTAAATCCTTGAATGAAAGTTCTTGTAAATATGTTTCGTATTTATAAGTAGGTTGATATTTAGGTACCCGAATTTTTATCTTTATTTTTCTAAATATTTTTTTTAGTGCTGTTTTTTCTTCGGGTGTAAGACATGCAAGATATATTGGTAATAATTTCGATTGATGTTGCGGTGATAAGTTACGAAAAGGTCGACTCCACAAGATTGGAATCACATTCTCACACCAATATTTGTTCACAAATAAACAAGAATAAAGTTCTTTATCACCGACGAATTTGAATACATGCTGAATACACTCATTTGATAATATTTGTTTCTCTTCGATTGGGATCGAACGTTTTGTCTGTCGTTTCTTGCAAGGTTTTATAAAGCGTTTAAAGATTTTTTTAAAAATATTTACCATTATTTGGTTTGACAGTAACAAAGGATGTGTGTTAAAAATTGGATAAATGTATCTTATTTATATTTTCCGGTTTTTTTTTTTTTTTTTTTTTTTTATGTATAAATGTACGGTAAATAGATGTGAAAATTTGGCTTACAGTTAATAATTACTGTGTAATGAGTGTAAATTGTCAAACCCTAAACAAACATACGCACAGAAGTTTATGTAAGTTCATTGACTTATTTACACATTTTTGAGGTAAGTATAATTTGAGTGATCGTTTTTAAACTGAGATATACGTAAATAATCTAACTTTTTATTAAAAAAAAAAAAAAAAAAAAATGCAAAATAATACAATTCTGTGAACTTTTTAAACAAAGAAATCGCCAATTTCAGTTATTCCCCAAACCCTAAGGAATTGTCTGTTATTTTCATTAATGATATATTATGAACATATATTATGAACATAATATTAAACATTACCGGCAATAGCATTTATTAGGAAGACCAGAAATATGTATCGGTCGATGAAACTCATAAAATATGCATACTGCTTATTGGAAGAATGTGTGATAAAAATAGAGTCCGTATTTAAACTAATTTCGTTAGCATATAAGTCAGTCGGTATTCTATGCAGTTCAGGTAAGTAAATTTATAAATTTGGCAGTAAGTTACCAAAATGGTAAGTTACCGGTAAGTTATTACTATAGTTACCGGGTAAGTTACTGCAAGTTATCGGTAGGTTCTATAAGTTACCTTAAAATTAGCCAAATTCCAAACTTTGACCAAATTCCAATCTAAACCTATATTAAAATAATTATAGTTTTACTTATTTTTAAGAAAAATATTAAACAGTGCACGCATGTATTTGATGTATCCTTTTCGATATAAATTAAATAAGTATAATATTAGAATTAGAGTTAGGATTAGGAGTAAAGTTAGAGTAGTTTTATAGTAAAATTGTATAAGGAATATTTTTATTAGCTATATAACAAAGGTTATCTAGTAAAATTTTGAATAAATTACTATTAAACTTAAAGCATATAGACTATTTATAGAATTATCAATAATTTTTGATCTACTAGTCCGTTTTAAATAATTTATTTACTAAAAATATTTGTTTTAATAAGATGATTCTAACAAGTTTAAAATTATTAATCCAATTACAAAATATTGAGATAATTTAAATTTTATATAATTTTAATAATTATTTTAAAATAAATATAACTAATTTTCTCTCTAAGTAATATCACCTATATTATAAAATTATTAAAATTAATAAATAAAAGAAACTTTTAGAGGTAAAGGTTAGGGTTCAAATTCATGTTAGGGTTAGAGTAAAAGGTTATATATGTTCAAAATTATATGCTGAAAACTTTTACTTAATAGCTCAAAGCTAGTTTTCATAATAAAATTTTGAGATATTTGTGATTTTTTTTCTTTATTTTTGTTATACAAGATTCTGTAATTTAATTAGCTTTATATATAAAGAAGTAATATTATCTAGGATAAAAATTAGCAATACTCTTTTAGAATTATTATATAAAATTTTAATTTTGAATAATTTTTGATCTATTAGTTTATTTTAGATAATTTAACTACAAAGATACTGTATCATCTTAATAAGATGATTCTAACAAGTTTAAAATTATTAAAATCTAATTACAGAATTTTAAGATTGTTAAAAATAGAGTTTTAATTCAGATAAATCTATTATCTATTTATCTATATTCAAATTTATCTAAATATCTATTTATTATTAATATCTAAATAATTTAATAGATATTTAGATAATTATTTAAATATTAATAGTAAACTAGTTATTTAAATATATTTAGATTTAGATATATAATAAATAAATAAATAAACAGATAATAGATTAGAATTTTAGTTAAGAATTAGTATAATTAGCTAATTATATCTATAATTAGTTTTATTTTTTATTTTTTTTATTAAGATAGCTTATATTGCTAAATAAATTTTATTAGTTTAATATATAAAGTCTTATATAGATAATTTTTTATAGTTTATAATTATATAAAGAGTATACAATAAGCTAGAAATAGTAATTAGTTTAGAAAAAACTAATTAGCTATATTTTAGACTAAAACAAATTTAAATTAACTTAAACTAGTTTAAGTTTCAGTTTAACTAGTTTAATTATTTAAAATTATACATATATATACAATATATACATATAATTATAATAATTAAAAAATACATAAAATATGAAAAACAAACAAAAACTCTTTATGTAGATCATTTGGATCAAATTCAGAGCTAATGAAAAACTATAGAAAACTCCTAAACTCGATTAAGAAACTAGTAAAACTCTACTAAGAAAAAAGATTCTAGATTAAGAAATACAATAAGAAACAAAAGCCAAAAAGAAAAACAAGCTATTTTCTTTAGATATAAAAGAAAATTATCTTTTTAAAAAATTTTTTCTATATTTTGAAAACAAATTTTGGGGAATAGCCAAACTCTAGAAATTCTGATTACATCAGTTATACAATTTCCTAAATTAGATAAGCTAGATTAGAAAACAAATTATATAAATAGAAAATAAGTAAAACTATAATTATTTTAATATAGGTTTAGATTGGAATTTGGTCAAAGTTTGGAATTTGGCTAATTTT